TAAAATAAACCTTTAAGTAATTTATATTAATTATAATTTATGAATGTTACTATCAGTTAGCTTTAACATGTTGTTAATTTTACATCACACCATACTGATTCTTGTGTGGAGCACAGTATAATTTTTAAAGGTAGAATGAAGACCCCGACATTCTCAATCCTCAAAAAAATATTCAATCAATTAATCAGTGAAATTTTAGGAAAAATATATTTGATAATATAACATTAACAATAAGAAAAACTTTACAGTTTATATTTAACATAAATAAAGAACAAATAATAATTTAAATTAAGGATTTTTTTTATTAAACATAAATATCACTCTGTTATATAGAATATGTATTTCTTCATCATTAATTAGGTCACTGTACATAGCAATGAATTAATGAATGTGTTAAATTTGAATTCAATGATATAGGACTAAATAATAAAAATAATTCTGAGCAGAGGTTGGAGATAATGATCAAATATCAGCTATTATTATTCAAAAAATATTTAAATTACTCATTAATATTATTATAATTTATAAAATAAGTAGATACTTAACTAATTTTGGTAACATATATATTATTAATTAATAATTATTTTGATATTGTATCATACAATGTTGTTACTAACTTATAAGTCAATACACACATACCATAGGTTGATGTAAGTAGTTTCATATTAAATAGCTTGAAATTAGTAAAATTATTTAAACTTAGTATGGTAAATATTGTAGAAATTTTCAAGTTTACATCAATATAATTAAAAATTATTAAAGAAAAAAATCTTAACTGTTACTTTTTGTTTAAATGTGTAATTTTATCAAAACTAGGGTTTAAATTGCCTATTAACATTTAATAAACATTGTAACTATAATGGTGATTTACATTTAATTAATTTATCAGTACCTATGTGGCTATGAATTATTATTTATAATTTTTTAAGGTGAACTTAATGTTAGTGGTTCATTATCAAAATTTATTATCAGTTATCACTTATTTATTTGGTTAATACTTAATACAAAACATTTACCAAACATGAGCATTTAAATATTTTCAATATTTTTAGTAGGTATATAAGTATGAAGTGGTTCAACATTAACATGATATATTAAATTAATTTAATAATTTACTATTTGATAGGCTCAGTCCTTCTCCCTGTCCATGGGGTTCGAAATTTTTAAAAGTTAAAAATAATATAATTTTATATAATATTAATCATGTAAAAATATAAAATCCTGGCTATATGCCTGATTAAGATTCATCGTTTAAAAATTATTGTGTTTGGAGTATACATAGCACAGTATACAAAATGACATAACACAAACAAATTCTATTCTATATATAAAAAGCAGTATAAATGTAAAAATAGGCACCAGTTTTAATCAAATCTTCCGACAGTTCCGACTTACATAATATAGACACGTTTCAAACATAAATAGTAATTTTTTGAAAATTATAAATTGAATGATTTATAAAAAGTTTAAAAAACAACTTTACAATAATACACTAAATTGATATTAATTATTTTAATAATTACGAAACTGATAATAAATAATTTTTTGGTAAGTTATTACTTGGAAGATATTAAGTACTTACACATACATTAGTAATTTTAATTTGAGTCTAGGAAATGGTTAAAATTTATCATTTAACATCAAAACGATTGATCGATGGCACACACGCCTAATGTTATAAATGTTATAATTTATTTATGAAATTTTTTAATGAATTATAATGTCATATCAATTAAGACACGACTGGCATCAGTAGTTGTGGCATCAGAATTCCAATGAGATCCTCTGGAGAAGTCTCATTGGCGTAACACGATTAATCATTAAAGATCATTAAGTTACTTCATCATATGAAATGTAATGGTTAAGTTGTAACCACTACTGATGCAAATGTACAATTGGTCGTCAGAGTACTTAAGCAACAATATTCCAGAAGTCATCATTAGAGTTGTATTCTAGTTGCAGTCACTTTTATGGTTATAATCACGCTGGCATATCGTGACCAGTGGTTCAGTTGAATCAGTAAAACTTCCAAGTTGTATTAGTGACTGGCGTAAGTAGGGCTGTGACTAAAATTCCAAAACTGACGCTGAAGCTTTGCGGTCGACGGCTGTCGATGTACTGTCGTTAAGCCAACGCCATCTATTAGCATCGATGATCGTCACGTCTTCCAGAATTATTCAAGACGGCGAGAAACGTCACTTTGGCGCGCTCTAGTGTTCATTATTTGATATTACTTATTATTTTCAAGTATGGGAATACTTGTTTTCAAACAAAACACGAATCGATTTCAAAATAATAGAATCAAATTCTTAATTGTTGTTCTGTTGTAAAGAAATATTTACATTTTAGTGAGACATTTAAACACGCAGTAACTATTTTTATTTCTTCACTTAATATTATATATATATATATATATATATATATTATAGTATTATTACGTACTTATTATTTAAGAAATATTGATGGGCAATAACTGATACTTGGATGGATTAATTTTGTACTACTCATGAGCAATGACTCTGTAATTGGTGAATTTTTATTATTTTATAAAATATCTGATTTAATTCTACTTTTTTAATCATTATTTTCGAAGACTACTTCACCGAGCAGTATTATTGTAACAGTCATATTGATGTAGAGTAGGTATATACAAGCTATAACATCGCAATTTTGCAGTATTTCTAGAAACAATATTTGTATTTTTACCTTTGAATTTTGATATTATAACGAATTGATGATTAATCTATTAAAATCTAAAAAAATCTAATATGACATTAGATGAACATTTAATCTTTTAAATTTTTAAATGAAATATTGACATTAGATTTTGAGCGGAGTGATGAATGTAAGTATTGATTTTATAAGTGTGTTTTTTTTTAAATTAATTTTTATTTCAGTCATTATCTTTTGGAGAGGTAAATATTTTAATATTTATCTTTTCGCATGATTTCTGGTAGCAAATTGGATCTAGTTAATACTTAGGAGAAGATAAAAATCTAGAAAATTATGATTTTCAAAAAAATATAGTCTTGTATTACATTATTAAATACGTCCCTGCTTACTGCATTAACAGTTTTTTTTATACTAAGTAATAATTATGACAACATAAAATAATTTTATGTGTATTCTATAAATGTTAGGTATTGTAGTTTATATGCAGACACGCAATTAGGTTAACTACGGATAAAACTAATTATAATACAATAAAATGTTGAGAAATATAACGATTTTTTATTGTAAATAAATTATTTATTTAATTTGTCATTTCCGCTCTATACAACATATATTTAAAATATTAATGACTGATAACTAATAAATAATGATCTTATTAATACTAAATGGATATTTGATTACTTTAATTAAAATTCTTTTTATATATTAATCATAGATTAGTATGAGATGGATAAATAAATCTCGGGAAGTAATTAAAAATTGAATATATATTAAGTACGCTATTTAGTTTTTTAAATTCTGTAATAGACAATTATATATTATTATTATTTTAGGCTTTGACATTTTGTTTAATTTCGCTCTAAACATCTAATAACGATCAAACATCAGAAAACGGTAAAACGTATATCGGTTATGATAATAATGCAATTAAATATTTTCCTGAAAGGGTTCATAATATTATACATATTTTTGTTTTGTACTTATTATTATTTCTCAGTAAGAGTATTAAATACTTCCACTGACAAACTTTTTCATTTTTCACGAACTGCTTGTGCCGACGTTAATTGCCTGCCACTATAATTTTGAATACAATTATAAAATATACGTTTAGATAAAACCATTGCCGATCGTCATGGTAATATTGTGATCCAGAACTATTCGAATGTACATATTATTATAATGCAAATATTGAAATACACGTCGTAACCATTTTAGTATTTTACGACAAACAAATCGTGCATTTTCGAAATGAAATAACTCGTTATGAAAAAATCATAACACATCGTAACGATGTTTTTATCGTGTTCAGTTATTTGTTAAGATGTACGTAATAAGCTCTTTCACCCTTCCCACTAAGATCGCGTCTATAATTTCCGCCTAAATCATCCCGCCGCGTATTACACACGTGACAATTATTAATATTTTCCATTCGAATACATTAGGTCGACCTGTCGTATTAACGATATCAGATCGTTCAGTTTTAGTTATTACATTCATTATATTCCCTCAATCGTGGTGTAGCCCGTGTAGGTATGTACAGTTAACGCGTGCCCGGTGCCGCCAAAGAGGTCGACCGGCGGGCGGCGACCTTACAACCCCATGCTTTATTTACACATGACTTGCCGGGCGCCGCGAAAACAACTCCGCACAACCACCGCCCCTTAGAACTCGTCCGTGTGTGCGTGTGTGTGTGTGTGTGTGTGTGCGCTACCGCTGGGCGTGAGCGCGTGCGCACATCGTCCGCGCGTACCGTGCGGCGACTATATTTTGTTATTTACGGTTTGTTGTTTACATTTGGCGCGTCCATAGGGTCTCCGTCGGCGGGCCCGCCTTATCGCAAAAAAAACAGATTTGGAATTTTAAAGAGCGTGAATAAGTATAAAAAAAAAAAACAAAAAAACGACACAAAATAAAAGTAGCACAGTCCTGAGAACCGTGTACGCTTGATTATTGTTGTGAATGTTGTGATACGTTCGTGCGACGCAAGTCGTAAGAAAAACTATCACGCCGCAGTCGTTGACAACAACATTATTATAATGCACAATACACCTCTGACCTCTATCCGGTGATACCCCGTTTTGTTGTTGTTCCCGACTCGCTCTCGCTCGTCTATTCACGCTCGCTCGCTTGCTTGCTCGCTCTCGCTCTCGCTCTCCCCCTCGCGCCGCTTCGCGGTCCCGCGAGCACACACACACATACACACACACACACACGCACACACACGCGCGCGCACACGCACACACAAACGAACGCACGCACGCACACGCACACCTATGTGCACGGACACACTCGCGCACGCGCACGCGACGGCGCACACGTACGCGGCGATGACTGATGACGTATAACAGAGACGACCGCTTTTCCTATGATAATACGATATTGTTTTTAAGCGCACACGCCGACGTCGCCGACGCGTATTTGTACGTGAATTTTTTTTTTTTTTGTCGTATCTCTCCGCTGTTAACCCCTAACTCGTCACACAGTCCGTCACCCGGTTATCGGGCGCCCCTACATCGGCCGATAGCGCGACCGCGATGCGTATGACCCGTCGTCGTCGTCCGTCCGTCGTCGTCGTCGTCGCTGCCGTCGTCGCCGCCGTCGCTGCCGCTGCCGTTGTCGTGTAGTAGTGTGTACTAACCGCTTCGGGCAAGGAGTTTCGCGCGCCCCGTCGACACCGCCTCAACAGACGCCGCCGCCGCAGCCACGCTCCCGGAAACTCCGCCGTCTTCCGATGTGTCGCCGTCCCCGGTCCGCACCATCCAACTGATGCGCGTCCATCGCTTCTCGAAAACGATGATCCGTTCCCGTTGAAAACTTCGTCGGACTTCACTGCTGTTGCTACAAGGTACGTGTTACACACATTTGTCCGTCTCTGACCCGTTTTCTCGACGGCGATCCGTTTCCCGTTTTAGGCGTAGCCCCGCCGCCAACAGTGGGCGTCGCAGCATGTGCCCTAACCGGCCTCACGATTAATCCGTCCCGTCGTCAATTGTTGTTGCACGGTATATAATATCCTGTCCCTGTGTCCGGCGACCCTTTGGCTGCTGCGTTCTGCCTTCATGACAATCCTATTGCACCGGGCTTGACTTCTGAGACTGCACTGTTTTATCTGTGTTAATTTCACATCACACTCCTCCTGGTTCTAATGCTACCCATGTATCTTTCTATTTTTAGATCACCTATTCGACAATAGCCCGTAATGGCATGAATTACCTAGACATTTTTTTGTTTTCTGTTCATTTTCACTATTGATCCACACGAGAATGTGATCTTATGTTTATAGACCAAGTGTTTTTCTCCAAAGATATTTATGATTTGAGTATACTGTTTATGTTATTGGCTTATTTTATTACAAATATACGAACACGATCATATTCAGATCAGTTAGGTTTTATTTTTAAATATAAAATTTAGTAGATGTTTTTTTGTAGTGACCAACTCCCATTAATGAATAGGTACCTATTTTGAATAGTTATTATAAGTTCAATCTGATTTAAATCTATAGGAAATATTTCACATAAATAATAATAATTACATTATGATGTAGTTATTTAACATATTTAGTGTAGGGGCAACTTGCCAGACCTGAGATTGTTGACTGGGCCCTCAGCTTATTGGGTCCTAGTGCCGTCTTGATGTTAAATAAACATTTTTATAAAATTTTTAATTCATAACTTAAATCAATCTTCTTTCCTTTCTTGATTAAAAACTAAATATCAATTTTTAAAATAATTTGAAATATAATGCAGTAGATATGTATATGTATATTAGTAGCTCCATAGGTAGATATAAAGAAAGTATTACTGTATTATTTATAAATTAAATAGATACATTATAAATAATACATATTTAACTACTTTATTTGAGTAGATATCTATGATATATACCTATCTATAAACTGCAAAAATTAATTTACCCCCACTTTAATCTTCAGAATTAGATAAAACATTTTGAAAGGCAAAAAACACATTATTAATCATTTATGGATAATGTGTTTACATAGCTGAGTATTGTATTTTACAACTTAAATTTGTATAGATAAGCCAATATCTGTTTTGAGTCTAGAATTTAACTTAATTTTTTTTTAAATTTTGTTTTTGAAAAATCATTATTAAAATGTAGGTACATTGTAATTTAGATATATTAAAAATTTTAAGTAAAATATCATTTCCAGATTAAAGTTTTCTTTCTATCTATTATATAAGTGTGTAACCTTATCTAAATTATTTTATAGATTTTTCATAGTTTGTTTTGGCAAGGGATAAAGAATATAACCAAATTAAAAATTGTGATTAAGAACAAGCAATTAATATTGATTTACAATTATAAATAATTTAATTAGGCTGAGCTTTATCTTCACCAATGAATACTTATAATGCTAGGCTTTTTTATTTTTCAGCAGACCAATTAAAATTTAGCTGAGCTAATTTAATAATCAATAATCCGTGTACATTAAATTGAGTATCTTTTTACCTATAAATTGGTATTGTATACCTGCAGTGTATTCATAAAAAATATTTTTAGTTATATGCATGACCAACCTAATTATCTGGACATAATTTTAACTGTTGTAATTTAGATTGATATTTATACTTAAATATCAGAAATTATAATGCATGGTGGAACAAATAAAAATTAGAATGTAAATATTCAGATAAATATTTAATAATTGTTAGCTTCAAATAAACATGGATATCAAGTTTATAGTTTATACTGTTGACTCATAATCAATTATATTAGTTGATATTAACATTATTACTCTTTAGAATTCTGTCTGAACCTATCTACATATTATATATTTTTTATAATTTTATGGTAAAAATCATAAAAATCACAACTAAATAATATTTAGTAAAATAGGTAAGTAGGAATTTTAAATAGTTTTTTTTTTTAATTTAATCAAATATAATATTATCTAGATGAATATTTTAGGCAATTAACATAATTTAAAATTTCTATGCTTTCATTATTATTTAATTTTATGTAAATAGAAATTGATTTACATACCTAATTATTATTAATATTTACACCTATTTACTCACATCACCTTAAATGTGACAAATTTCTTTTTGATTCAATGTTTTAATAATAGAGTATATTTTATTGGATACACAAAAAAGTAGACTAAATCTTATTTAAAATCTATTGATTTACTACCTATCTTACTTTTATTTTCTTATTTTTGTTTATACATATTTTATTAAAGTATCTAGGTAGTTTTTGATTATTTTAATAGTTACTTTTTGTGATCTATATTAAACTGTTGTGAGTGAAACAATCTTTTAATTAATTGTTTATTACCCATGCTTACATAAACAATTTTATATCTGGAATTATGGTAAAGAATGTGCTATGTGGACTAATAAATAAGGACTGCTGAGTCATTTAAAAAAAAAATTAGTTCATCGGTTTAATATGGTCACCATTTATCAGTATAACACCTACATAAGTAAAATATATTTAAAATGAAATTTTAGCAATAGATATCTAAATCAATAATTGTATTTTGTAACTACCTATCTAAAGAATGTGTGTAATTAATTGTATATAATATTTATATTTAGTATTATATTTATATTGCATTTGTAGAATTAAAAATGATATATTTAAGCTATTGAGTTAATACTTTTTAATGTTTATAAAATTATTATAATGAATTAATATTATTAAAATATTAGACAACTTGATAGTAAATATAAAATGTTGTTTGATGATAAGTTTTAAAAATTCTCATTTATTATATTTATATATATTATATATCATTATTTAATAACCATGGATTTTTTAAATGTGTTTTCAGGCGTTTTAAGTGTCTAATTATCAATGAGTAATCAGCTGGTCGACTCATGTTTGTAAGTATATTTTAATGGGAATAGTTATTTTTTTAGTTTTAATTTATTTTATACAATTATTTTAAGTTCTATTTTGCTTACAAGTGTATACTATATTTCATGTAAGATAATATTAAAAGTATATCATTAATTAATTTTTATAAATCATTAAAATAAACTATTAATTATTTGCTTTTATCATAATAATAATTTTATTTTACAATGGTATTTATCAATATAGTTTTATTACTAGCATTCATACATCATATTACATAATATTGTATTTAATGTATAATAATATATTATTACCTATTTCAATCTATTTATATTATACATTATTTAAATGGTATATTTATCATTAAGACACTAAGTATAATGCAAGTTGTACTTCATGGTTTATGTAGGTACACTTTAAATATAAACTTAAAATATTAATTACTTAAAGGGTTTGCGATTATAGATATGTAAAAATTCATATTTCTATAAATATTTATTTTAAAATATTCATTTTAACAATTATCACTAGCTTCTATCTAATATCATAAATTAATATTTTATAGAATATGAACTATTTATGTACTCTATCCAGCGAGAGAATGTGTTGATTCTGCTCATCCTCATGCGACATTTTGCCTTTGTGGAACTAACGTCAGTGGTTGGATGTCGCATAGAGATGCATGGAAGAACCGATTTTTGCCGCACAGTAGTGTGTTCTCTCGCTTGATAGAGCATAAATAATTGCAATAATGTTGAATTGGCTTGTGTAAATATAATAAACACATTTGTTTCAAATTTGCTTGGGTGACAGGTTGGTGAACAGAAGGGTGGAGAAGCTTCAAGAGCAAAGCTTCACTTGCACTGAGATTACACAGAGGTATATTTTTCTTACAAAAAATTGCCATAATTTCATGACAATTTTTAATTATTTCTTTTTGGCTTCTATTTTTATGCTTTGTTTAGACATTTCATTGATTTTTGTTTTTACTTAGTCTTAAATATTAGCATCACTATGTATTATTAGTTATTTTTGCCTTTTTTTATTTTAATACATAGTAAATAATAAATTTAACGTTCAGTATTGTTAATAGTTTATGAAGGATATAATTATATATTATTTGAAGTTGTATGAATTTTATAAAAATTAAATGTGCATGATATTTTACTTAAGAGCCAATTATCTAATATATTGTATTTATACATTTACTAATACTTATTTTTATACTATTATTTATATTATGCAGTAGTTTGCTTTTATTTCAAACCAAATAACAATCAAATATTATTATACTATAAAAAAATTGGCTTATTTTACAATTGGTTTGAAAAAAAATTAAGTCAATGATAAATATTTGCCATAAGTAGTATTTGCCATAAGTAGATACACACACAAATGTAGGTATTTGCTTTTAAAGAAATATTTTGTTGATAGTTTATGAATATTAGCCACATTAGGTATATAGTCAATAATATAAAATATCTTTGAAAATTCATATTGCTAGAGCAAACTGATAACAGTAAACAGTAGTTAAACAGATTAAAATTAAAATAATTATTTGAATAATTTAATATTTAAAATATGACTAGTTGTAATAAATAAATAATAATTATACTGTTATTGAATATAACATTTCATACTTTAATTAAATTAAATGTTTCTAATTGTGTATTAAATGTGGATTATAAATTATAATTATATTGATAATTTCAAAAAAAAAGATGTCTCTAATGTGAGGTTTCCTACTATGCCATCCTTCATTCTTAGATTTTCTTATTTATCATAAATAATTACTTAATGTACACCTGTATAGATTGTAATATTTTTAAAATAAAGTCATATTTTTTTTTAAATATACTTTTGAGTTAAATATTATTAAAGCTTTAAAATTTTTAGATATTTAAAAGGTTTGAAAATTAAAAATTTTATTAGGTGAAAAAATCGTTTTTACGTGTATTTTATTTTAACATTTCTAGAAATTGTATTTGTTTATAGTTAATTAATAATTACAGTAGTCGGTAAAAATATGAAAAAATGGATTCTATGTAATGTTTTGGTAATAAACACAACAGAGATCAAATTCTCTTAAAAAATTAAAAATATATACTTAAGAATTATATTGATAATTTGTATTTCATTTTTTGATAATATTGAAAAATTTTGTTTGATATAAGAATAACCATAGGCAAAACTAAACATTTATTTAAGGGTAGGTCAAAGTATTTTAAAATTGTGTATCTCCGTAAAAAAATATTAACTATTAATTAATGAGGTATTTGAACAATTATTAATATTTTGAACTTTATTTCTTATATTATTTAAAACAATAAACTGATAATTATTAAACATCTTACCCTATTTGTAGTACGAATATCGTGTCACCGTAACGAAAATGCGGACTATAGACGTCGGCCATCAATGCTATTCTTTTACTTAGATATATCTATAAATATGCGTATATTTAAGAATAAAAATTGGTATAAATCTCTCAAAAATCGAACATTTTACATTATTGAAATAAATATAGACAATTAAATTAAACAGAAATAAAAATACCTAAAAATAATTTTTATTTGTTGAGTTTTATAAAATATTTCATAAACATAACATTATTTCTTATAATTTATTAATAATTACATCTAGATCTGATAGAATAAGCTTAATAATATGCGTCCCATAGTATAGCAATGATAAAAATCTACTGTTTTCGTTTCTATCACAACATTTTGGGAAAATTACTACAAAAACGCTATTTTAGATATTTTTAAATACACATTTTTAAAACAATATAATATTATTATGTAGGTAACCCAACTGAATTATTTTTTCTATGCTGATAAGCATTTGGTCAGGCTATAATCTTACTGGTTTGACCCGTAATTTCGCCCATGAAAATACTATACTTATAATATGTTTGTCTGAGATTGAAATTATTTCGTTCATATAAGGATTCTAAGGGTTATATTTCTTATCTTAATAATATTATAACAACAACAGAAAAATTCTTGATCAAGTACCTAATTATAGTACGATAATTTATGAATTATTATTAATACCACAAACACTATTGCATCTATCTAATGTATGAAACAACTTGTTATTTGTCGAAAAATGTTTACCAGAAAACTAATCTTTTTACTAAAAGTATAAAGATATGCTTAATAAAGTTAAAATATGAAGTTAATTCTGAAAAAGTTGTCAAAACGTTTTTTAAACTGAAACATCAAAATACGCATCTTAAAAATTAGTCATATTAAAATTTATGAAAATTCGTATCAATTTATCCTCAATTTATTTCGTTTATTCAAAAATATATTTTCTGTTCTAACATTTTGAACTAAATGTTAATTGGCAATTTCAAGTCTTAATAGTCATATTTCCTGAACAGACTTGTATACAATATTATGATACACTTGAGTGATGACGTACCAATTGGTATTTCCGGGCTATGGGGTTTTACATTCATAATCAAACTTTAGATTGCAAACTGACTGTTTTTAAATGTATCTATTTCCGCTTAAACGTACCGATCTCTCTATGGCCTATGGGCATTGGGCGCAGTTTGGATAATGAAAATAAATTAGAATTTTTCACACATTTTATTATAAATGACTCCATAGTTTTAGTAATTTTAATATCAAAATTATCTGCATTTTATTTAAGAAATGTATAAATTCACGAATCTTGTACCATGGATTACATTAATTAAAAATGAAACAATAAATAAAAGTCGAAATTTCGTTGTTTTTAAGTAAACACAATGAGGAATTCTAATTTATTTCCAGAATCCTTATCTGTTACATGAGTGGGAGTGGTACATGCGGGTGAGTCACTTTCTAATGATCGTTTACTACATACAGTATACGCTAGCAATGTACGTACTACGCACACACACACACACACACACACACACATACATTAGATATTGCTTATACAAAACTCGCGCAGTGGCTACTTTTAAAATGCACTCTGTTCGCAATATTTTTAACACATCTTCCTCAGTTCTCTAATTATAAAAAAAAAAATAGGTGTTGAAATTTACAAGAATTAAGAAGAATAAACTAAAATAATTTAATTGTCATTGTATTTTTTAACAACTAGGTATTTATTAATAATTATAACTTAAATTTATTATTTATCAATATGTACGCAATTATTATCTTCTTTTTATATTTTTCCTTAACAGTCGTCTTTGCGCTTGTATTTAAGTTTTAATATTCGTATTAATGATTCTTTAGTGATGACATTTCTTTATTATTGAATGTTTTATACTAAATAAATCATAAACAATGTGGTTATTTTTTTTTTAATTGTATGGATTAGAACTTAATTTCAGGTATTGACATGTAGATGGTCCAGCAAAAATTTGTATTTTAGTGTTTAAAATTTAAATGCAAAAATAAATGTCATTATAAACCTGTTAGGTTTCTAAGCGGTGCTGTGTTATTTTTTTAAAATTTTTATCCCTTATTATAATATATTAATTAATTGTGATTTGAATTTAATTTAATTTATATTTTTAGTTTATTGTATTAATTATACTCTCAAATCACAGACACATAAAACATGTCTATGACTATACTATTTGTAGACTTGGTTCAATTTCTAAAATACATTTATGTATATAATAAAATCATATATGTGTTAAATATGTCAAAAACTGTTAGACATGCATGCACTTTTAGATTGAATATGGTTAAAATTTAAATTAAAAACTCAAAATGTCTAAAACACATTTTTTAAAATTAAAATCAGACAATAGTTATTAATTATAATACAAATTTATTTTTAATGTCAGGTTGTATAAATGTTCATTAAATATTTAATGAATCAATAACACCTAGCTATTAAATAAAAAATAAGTTATTCATTTATTAAACATTTATTAAATGTACGTTCAATAGCATTATTGAGTCATTAAACTATTGGTTACTTGTTAATTAAACTAATTGTCTGATTTTGACTTATTAAATTTAAGTTTTAAAAGTGTTGTCACTTTGCGCTTTTACCTATTCTATTTAAAACAGTTGAAAATTCTCTATATCACTTTTCTTGTGATAAGTTCAAACTTCAATATAAACTTTGGTATTATGTTTAAAATCAATATATTTTTATTCAACTGTTTGTGCAATTCAAATGGCTCAATAAAAATATTTAATTGTTCAATAAAATATTTCATTAAATAAATTTAAAGAATGGTAATTTTATTTAACCATACATTAATATTGTTTATTGATCTATGTTAAATAATAATAATTAAATTCAATGTATAATGACTTGTATATTATGTAATTTTATTAAATGAAAATTGATAAGCACTATTGGCTACAACAAACTAAAAATATTTTGGCATGTATAAAATAAAAATAAAATTACTTGTCTGCATTTGCAAAAAATAAATTTTTGGGTTAAGAAGTTAATCATAGTTTCCAAATTGTAGAAAATAAACTTTTTTTTTTTGTTTTTTGAATTACTACATTGAGGGAAATAGTGTGAGAGTTATATCTCTTCCATTCAAAGTAAATAAATAAATAAATTTGAAAATAATTTGTATTCTATTATGTACTAGAAATTTAAAAACAATTTTTGATAAAAGTTTCCTTCCATCTAACAAAAAAACTAAAACCATCTAAGTGCACAGTCATGAATTTGATTATATTATTACTATAATAGTAATTGTTAGTAAAATTGAATAGGTGACTTTACAACATAGATGGCTAAATTTTTCTAATTATTTTTTAGAGCTCAGTCAGACCTCTCTCAAAATAATTCATACCCAAATGACGTCACATATTCAAACAACGGCCTTCAAGAAAATCATTCATCTAATTCATCTGCTCAATGTAGTGAAAAACCTGTATTAGTATCCCAAACAAAGAAACATCAAACAACACAACAAGTAAATAATATTATTTTATTTTTTTGATTGAATAAAACTTTTATTCAAATTTAATGTGATAATTGATGCTAAATTTTAAAATATTTTTTTAATTTTAGGTTACAACTGTGACAAAAGTTGTCCGAGAAGTTCATCATATGATTCCTAATGGTCATTCATTAGATTACATCCCTTATACATTAGGAGTGTCATCTTCGTCAACTTCATCAACTCAACCAAATAATCCTGCTCATATGTCAGAATCTGGTTTGTACACATTCTATTTTTTAAATGACATAGTAAATTTATAGTATTAATTTCTAATTATTTTTGAGATATTATTGATTCATTTATTAAAATAAACCATAGTAATATTTTTTGATTATAAACATTAAAAACATTAAAATAAATCTAGAAAAAAATAAATAGTTAAATAATAAATTGATTAATGGTAGTTAAAAATAATATTTTCAAAAGTGTTTATATTAAAGATTTTATTTTTATTTTAAATTTTAGAAAATAATTACGTGGTTATTACATAGTAATATTTGTATTATTTGTTTATCAATTTTAAATTCTTGAAGATTTAGCAAATTTGATTACTTTTATAACTGTAAAATACATTATTGTTAAACCAATAGATTTATTCAGGTGCATAGTCAGAGTTATATTAAAACACCTAAAATATTATTAGACATTTTATTGATATATGATGTTGTGTCTCATGGACACTGATAAAAATATTTTAATGATTTTGTATTTTTATTAATATTTAATTTTATATCAAAATTTATGTTATTTAAAGAAATATTCAAAACTTAAATGTATTTTATAATAGGCTCCCTTTCACCATATTTCTTTAAATATTAAATTAAAATACTTCTCTTTAAAATTTTTTGTCTATGCCTTTGGAACTATTACTTATTAAACAATTTTAAATTTAAATAATTTTAAGTTCTTTAAATTTCTAAAATTAATAAATATTTATACATTTTTATACATTTTGTTTTGTTTAGGACATTATAATAATGACTACCAGAATTACAATCCAGGTTGTCAGGATTATGACCATTATGTTGGCGTACATCCTGGACTTTCGTATTACAGTTCCAACAATATACCTGGACAGCAAGGTGCTAAAATAGATGGAAATGCCTACCATGTATATGACACAGGATCATCCCCTAACCAACTGGGGCATGAATATAATGAAACGATACCCACACCACCAAGTCCTAGTGCGTGCAGTGAATCTCCTCCACCACAACAGCTCATGGCTCAAGGTAATTATAATTTAATGTTAACAAAATTTAAAAATATCAGAATTTAGAACAAATTAATATAGTATATTATGGTTAATATTTTTTGAAATTGACCTATTTTTAGAATACATGAGAAAAGGATTACCATATCCTCCTTCTGGCTATGAAGAACTTGATGCTACTCAATTGCATCCAAATCATGATCATTATCATCGAATAACACCATCACCAGGCGATTGTTATGGTTAGTATTAATTTTGTATATTATGAAGTAAATAATTAAACATGATATTATGGATGTTTCATTAAAAAAATAATACTTGAAACTTTTATTTATATAGATCAAATGAGTGGATCATGGAATATGGATGAATGTGGAGATCAAATGGGTCAAGGTATATTTTCATTTAAGAGTTACTATAATATTCGTGTTTGTTATATTTTTTTTTTTATTAATTTTTTTTTTTTTTAGGTCTTAGATGGAGAGATCCTAATTTGCCTGAAGTTATAACATTCTTGGCTAACCCAAATAATTTAATTAAAGCAAATGCTGCTGCTTATTTACAACATTTATGTTACATGGACGATCCAAACAAACAAAAAACTAGAACATTAGGTGGAATACAGGCTTTAGCAAAGCTCTTGAATCATGATTGCCCAGATGTTTACAGAAATGCGTGTGGGGCTCTTAGGTATATATTAAATCAAATATTTTGTTTGAATTGAAATCCAATAGTAGGGTACAAGTTTTCTTTTTTTTTTTTAGAAATTTATCATATGGAAGACAAAATGATGAAAATAAACGAGCCATTAAAGATGCTGGTGGAATACCATTATTAATCAATTTATTACATAAATCTGCTGATGCAGAAGTTAAAGAACTCGTTACAGGGGTTTTATGGAATTTATCATCATGTGAAGTATGTATAAAAAAAATTAGTTAGAATTTCATATTTATTAAATATTTTTTTATTACAACAGGATTTGAAAAAATCAATCATTGATGATGGCCTTTCGACTATTGTGAATCATATTTTACTACCTCATTCAGGGTGGAGTCCTACTGTTTGTAGTGATATCTGTTGGTCCACTGTATTTAGAAATACTTCTGGTGTATTAAGGTATATAATTATTTTAAATGTTTGATTGCTATAGTTTAAATTATGTTAAACATACATTTTTTTAAATTAGGAATATAAGTTCAGCTGGTGAATATGCACGAAAAAAGTTACGTGAATGTGAACATTTAATTGATTCGCTTCTTTATGTTATTTCAACTGCTATTGAAAAGTCAAATATTGGAAATAAAAGTGTTGAAAATTGTGTATGCATATTAAGGAACTTATCATATAGGTGTCAAGAAGTTGAAGATCCAAATTATGATAAACACCCTTTACCAACTCAAAGTAGAGTTGGTCCTCAACCAAAAGGTAAGCTAAAAAAATTATTCATTATAATATTTGATAAATTATATTTATATTACCTTTTCTGTTTTAGCAGAAAACTTGGGGTGTTTTGGAGCTAGTAAAAAGAAAAAAGATATCCAAGTGGTTTCACCCAAAGAAAACCCTAGTAGTCGTATAATTCCTAGATCAGAACCAGCTAAAGGAATGGAGCTTTTGTGGCAACCAGAAGTATGAATTTGCATTGTTACTTTGTTTAAAATCTAACAACTTTTTAATATTATTTTAGGTGGTTCAATCATATTTAGCGTTGCTTCAGAGCTGTTCAAATCCAGAAACTCTTGAAGCTGCTGCTGGTGCAATTCAGAATTTAGCTGCGTGTTATTGGCAGCCTAGTATTGAAATTAGAGCTGCAGTTCGGAAAGAAAAAGGTCTCCCTATTCTTGTCGAGCTCTTACGAATGGAAGTTGATCGTGTAGTATGTGCTGTAGCCACGGCTTTAAGGAATTTAGCTATTGATCAAAGAAATAAAGAACTTATTGGTTTGTTTAATTGTTTTAAAATATTCTAATTTATTATTGAATATGTTCAAATTTTATTTTTAGGCAAGTATGCAATGAGAGACTTAGTGCAAAAATTACCATCAGGAAATGCTCAACATGATCAAGGAACTTCAGATGATACTATAGCAGCAGTTTTAGCTACACTGAATGAAGTCATTAAGAAAAATGCTGAATTTGCTAGGTATTTAATACTAGGGATTGAATATTATGATTTATGTTTTATAAACATATTTATAGAGTATTGTATAGTATTATTTTATTTGTGTTATGAATTATAAATAAAATGTACTGCATTCATTTTGAAATTGTATTTTTATATCTATATATACATTGTGTAGGTCATTATTGGATTCAAGTGGAGTAGAAAGATTAATGAATATAATCAGACAGCGTCAGAAGTATACATCAAGAGTTTTGAAATTTGCCAGCCAAGTTTTATTTGCTATGTGGCAACATCAAGAGTTGAGAGATGCATATAAAAAACACGGTTGGAGAGAACAAGACTTCGTTACAAAAACTATTGCAGCTAGAAATGCAGCAGGTGGAGTAAATTCACCAAATAATGCAAACAGTACACTGAATCGCCCAATGGCGAGTCAAGGTGGAACTCGGTATGAAGATCGTACAATTCAAAGACAAAATCCAAATCTTTCACAGATAAATCATTCACTGTCAAACTCTAATTCAAATTCTACTTACCAGGCTGTAAGTTAAAAGATATAATATTGTGAATATAAAGAGTCATCCAATTAGTTACATAACTTTTGAGAATTTTAATGTATACATCCCAGTCACTTTTGTAACACAAATTGTGGATGGCTCTAATATTTTTTTTAACTAGTATAATATGTTTTTTAAGTAAATAAAAAATTTTACTCTTTGAATATTAAAGTATTGTATATTTTAAAATTAATTGAAATAGGTGATTTTATTGATAGTAATTTTTTTAAACTTAAATGGTAAAGAACTTTTTTATTAAAAAATATACTTGGTGTACAATGGTTTTTGATTCATACGCCTATGTTGTGATGATTTCAGTTCACTGGTCTACAATAAATTTATTTCATTTGCCATTAAATATTATTTATTTAATGTTAAATGATGATAAATTCAATATAATGGTGGTAATATCCAGTGAATATTGTAAATCTTACTTCACAATTTTTTTCCTAAGATGTTAATGTTAGTAACTAAAAAGTGTATGACAACTGATTGTAAAAATTATATTATTTTGCTGTAATTTAAATAAGTATTATTTTATAAATTTATTAATTGTCGAGAAAAATTGTTTTTACAAAATCTAATATTAATAAAAATAAATTTCATGTTCATTTTGTTTAAATAATTCAATTTTATACTTTTAATAATTTTATGCAGTTTTACCTTATTAACATTGTCTTAACTGTTTATTAGGTTGTATTTAAATGGACACTATTCTTGCATTTGTTATTTATTTTCTTTTACGTGACATACTAATTATTATGTTCTAAATTTTTGCCATGTTATTTTTAACATAGAGTAAACTTATCTTTTATGAAACTTAAAGATGAAAAAAAAAAGAAACATTTTTTACGCTCTTTTTTTAGTTTTTTTTTAAAGATATTTTAATTTCAAAGTAAGATATATGTAGATAAAACATATTAATTAAATAAAAAAATGTTATTATCTTAAAAATATTGAATAAAGCTTTTCATGTTTGATAATGGGTTAATTCATTAATAAAATTATTGGAAATGTAGAAGGTAAACTTAGTGTGTGTTGGACAGAGACAATGAATGCATTAATAGTGTGCTTTTATAATTTTATTTATCTGGGTAATTAAGTTCATGACAGGAACATATTAAAATTCCCATTTCATTAAATATTTATAATATTCACCTTTGAATATATAATTAATAATCTACATTTTATTTTCACATTTACATTAAATTATAGCATGTATACACTAACTTGTTAGTTATATTTTAAAATAAACAGATTTCATAATATTTGAATAAAAAAGTCTTATTTTTTCATTTAGTTCTTTATTTTATTTATGTACTTGATATTTTCAGAATGAAGATATTCCATTAGCTGATATGCCATATCCTGAAGTGTCTAATCATACTCCTCCAGCTGGTGGAGTATTAATATATCCTCCTGGACATGTGAGTAGATGAAGTGTTGGTAATTTATTGGTGTTGTTTTCATATTTTATGTGTAGTATTCATAGTTACACGAGAATTATTATAGTTAGATTATTTGTTTTACTTATCTTATTACTGCACATATGATTTATACTATGTATATTTATTTGCATTAATTAATAGAAGTATTAGAACAAAGTTTTAGAAATATACCAATATGCTTAATTAAGTTGAGCAATTTAAGATCAAAACTCACTTTCTAATTAATTGTATTTAATTATTTATGAACATTAATGAACTCATCTTTATTATACAATTTATTTTTAAATATAAACATAATATTCTGCTATGGTTATTAAGTCCTAAAAGTATCAAAAAAGTGAAATATTCCATGATATATATTTATGATGATTTTATTATTATATCATGCATTATTGAATAATAATTAATAATAAGACATTTCTTAATAGTAAACTAGATAGTTAATGAATATATTATCATGATTCATTTTATATTTTATTGATTGTTTAAATTAATAATTATTAAAGTTTGAGTGTTGAAGATTTAATTATTTAACCAGCAGGTGCATTGATATGATTTTCAATGGATTAGCATTAGTATTAAAGAGGTAGAGTTACCTATCTTGTAATAAATTCAGGTACATAATATTTTTAAAGCTTTATTGAATCTAAGTTTAATATTTTATTGAATTAATAACTTTTCTAGAAACATCTTTGTACAAGTTAAGACTTGTATTTTATCATGCAATTAGTTTTTCAAAACTTGAAATATTGTCAATTATGTTTGTTTCCTGTGTTAACTTGTTTATTATATTACATATTATGTATATTTTGTTTTTACTAAATTTAAAAAAGTAAAAGTTAATTGCTTATTTGTTAATATTTCTTTTATAAAATTTGTATTTATTAAAATATGGGAAAAAAATTTGGTTTCCTATTTTTAAATCTTATTTAGTGTATATTTAATTTATGTCTTTTTTATAGAATTATAGTATTAAACAATAAATATTAATGCTGTTTGATAAATATCAATAATGTCCTAGAATATTCAAGTATTTCAAGTATATTTTTTTTATTTAATTTTTTATTTTTAGCCATTGAGACCAGGTGAACCACTTTATGCTCAAGTTAACCGCGAGAAAAAGAAAAATAAACAATATGACCCATCTTGTTCAATGGGTGAAATGTGGAACTATAATGAACAAGCGCAACCAAAAGTATCATCTGTTGATGTATCCACTGCTCAAGGTGGTGATTCATGGGTATAATAACCATTTGGCTGACTTTTTATGCATTTTTTTTTTTTAGTATCTTAAATATACATTGTAAGTATTTGTTATTATGACGAGGTGATATTATTATTATTTCCGCATTTGTGACACAAAACCATTTTTATATTTAATTAGTTAATAAGGATATGTTAGTTTTTAATAATTTATAAAATGTAAATTATAACATACATATTTATCCATTATATACACACATAACACATTTTTAATTTATTATTTTATGTACAACTTAATGCACACAATATTTGGAGATAATGTTAATGTGCCAATAATATGATAATGATAATTTTAGACTTAGTGTTATATCAGTTTTTACTTGAATATTATTAAGTGGGGCTCACATATCTTTTCTTACATACTGATTTGTACTCATGTTATTTTTAAAATAACTAACTTTGTTTCTTCAAATAATGAAATTAAACTGATAAAAAAAAGTGGTTTAGATTTGGAGAGTTTTGTGTTAGAAGTGCATTGTGTTAATATTGGAATATATATGTAATAAAAGAAATGTTAACTTTGCTTAAAGTAAGTCAATTTGAAACCATTATGTGCAATGATTGTTTGTATTTATCATTTGTTTAAAAAAACTAAGGCGATATAGTTACTCAAAGTAACTAAAGGTATATATATATATAAACATATATATTTACCTTTTTTTGGGAGATTTTATGTCTACTGAGTATTTGGTAATGACCCACTATTTTTGGAATTCTTGATAATAATAGAATATATTTATATACATACATAAAATAGTGTTTCTTTGAGGACTTAATTTAATTCTCTCATTAGTAAATTGATTTTATGAATTTTTTCAGGTTCTTAGAGTATGATACAGATGATAAAAGAGAGAAATAATTAAACCAAAGTAAAAATATTAGTAGATATAAAATTTCCTGAAAAATAATTGTAAAAATACAATGTAAAATTTAAATGTTTATTCTATAATAATCTGTTTGAAAATCGAAAAGTTTTTTTTTCGTATTGTTAGAAGAAAAAGAATAAATGGCAACCAAATAGTTGTAAGTGCTTTTATGTTCCTGACTTTAATATTTTTGTTATACATACTTATTGTGGAAATTTTTTACATACATACATTTATATACTATTATAATAACATACCTACTATTAAAATAAATTTAAGATACTTATACAATATTCCCCATAAGAATTCCAATTAAAAGTATACAAATATATTTATGTACCCTAATTAGTCAATATACCTTTTGTCAAATCATTGGATAACTATTATTGATGAGTTTTATATATTCTCATTGGCTTCATTATTATATTATAAGATATATTTTGAATGTTTTGGTGTCTCTTTTGGTTAATAACTTTACCAGTAAAATACAATTTAATTTATATTTATGTTTTTTTGAAATACTTAAATGAAATTTAAACCTTTTTTTAATGACAATATTATTAGTTTTCAGATGTAGAAAAATATTTAAAAAGGCCAAGTGTCATATCTATGTTAATTATTATTATTAGGAATAATATTCTTTATAAATATTAAATACACATAAATGTCAAACAGAATCAATAAAGTAGTCTGTATAGTGTCTGCAATCTGGATTTATTTTTTTTTATTTTACAAACCTTTTATAGTTTAAAAAATATTTTATCCATAATTAAATGTTTGGTAATGGACTTGACTTATGACACACTAAGTCAATTTTGGTTGCTGGTATAATGGTAATTGAATTATTCATATTATTTTAGTTAATTGCATTTGTATTGCAACAGTTTTTTAATATGAATATATTTTAGGCCTACTTTATAGTATCTTGTAATATGTTTCTTATTATTTTGTTTTTACCCAACAAAAAATAAATAAATATATAAGACCTATTCTTATCCTATACCCAGTATACCTACAATAGTCATAATAAAGTATTAATATTATTAATAATAGGTAGGTATTAATTTAAATAGTTTAAAAGATATCAAAGTCATGAATAAAAACATTTTTTTTTCTTACTGTTTTTTGTGTACATATGTATGTATATATATAAAAACATCAATATAAAATCAATAAATTCATTGTTCCGTTCAGAATCTAAAATGTAGCGAATAAGACTTCGAGCATATTTAATAAAGTATTTTAACTGTAGATAGATACATTAGTCATCAGTGTTACTATGATTAAAATTAATGAATAACATTAATTTAAAAAAAAGGTTCCCCTTCTTAGAGTTTCTCTTTGCTGCACAGTTTAAGTATCGAGTAATGGATGCATTAAATTTAAATTCAATGATATATTATCATTATGTACAAAAAACGATTCCTAGCGGAGACAGTCTATCAGTCTTTATTACTAAGTATATTTCATGATGCTTTTATTTTATGTCGTTATTAAAGTTAGCCATTAGTTGAAAAACTTTGTAATCATTTTATTATTTATATTAAATTATTTTAATTATTTTAATGATATATATAATATTATTTTAATTTTTATAGGTACCTGTTGAGTGTTGAGTCAATTCCATCTTATTTTAAAATAATGCGAATAAGTTCATCTTTATCTTTATCATTATATATTACTAAAACGTAATGCGATTTCTTAGGATAGTTATAATTGAAGACTTGAAGTTCTACCGAAGCGATTTGCGTGATTTTTATTTAACGTAAGTGTTAAATGTACCTACAGATAAACTATTTAATGAGAAAAGTTGTTAATTAAAAAGTTATTACTTATTAGAAATATTAGTTTCCTGTATAACTACATAATGACGTGCGTTGCCTGCCGTATGGCATACTCGTAACATCCACTATGTCTACTATTATCTTGACTTCAGAATGGGTTTTCTAAATTCTAGTAACACCCAAATTAATTAAAATTTTAATTTGTTAACATTTTTAAGTGAAATATTTTCAATGTTTCCGATAATTATAAGCATTATTAAAACAATAGAATTCAAATTATTATTATTTTATTTTTAAATTTAATTTGCTATTTAATATTTTTATGTAAGGCAACGACGGGTATTTCAGGTAGTGCGATATAGAAAGGCAACAGCTCAAAATTAATATATTTTAAAAATGTAATTATGCATAGTAAAATTCATAATATACGAAAATATAATGTTACTATGAATAATGTTTTTAAATTATAATAAAATAAACTAAAATCTTTATTATTTGTTTAAAAATGTCATCTAAATTCAAAATTTAACTACATTTAAAAAATAATTATGTTTATTTATTATTTTGATTTATTGGTTCCAACATGAAAAATTTTTGAGGAACATACATTATATTAAATTTTTAAATCTTGGATATAAAAATTTAAGAGCTTATAAACTTATACTACAAAATAGTTTGTATATTTTGTGAATAATGAATTTTGACAAAATTTGAATTTCAAGTGTATACAAAAAAATATTATGTTTATTTATTTTTAATGTTCTTACATGGTTATTACAAGAATAATATAAAGTTAAGTGGGATATTGAATTTAATTTTCTAGGTATTTTCTTAGTAACATTTCTGAATTCTGATAATATATCTATAATTCACTTCTATAAAAAGAAAAAATGAAAATCTTATGAATAAAAAATGCTAATACAAATATTTTGCACCCTAAGTTATTCACTTTTGAGTTCTATAAAAAACAAAATTGATTTTATTAAACACTGGTTTTGCGTAATAATTTTCCTTTTTTTACATTTTTTTCTTGCTATTTTGAAAAACACTAGGAATTTAACCTCCATAATAAGATTCTAGCAAATTTGAGTTCAATAAAACTTTGTTTAGTTTGCTTTAAATTTTAATGATATAGATTATAGTTAATTAATCTATTATAATAGCGGTTCTCAAACTTTTTATTTCGCGTACCACTTAAGTATATTATCAATCAGTCGCGTACCACTGAAGATTAAAAATCCTACCACCATGCGGCCTTCCGCAGTTCCGCGTACCATCATGTAGTCTTTCGCGTACCACAAGTGGTACGCGTACCACAGTTTGAGAACCGTTGTATTATAAGATTTAATAGTAAGAATATTTTGTGTATTAATGTTAAATTTTCTTATGGTATTTCAGTTTGTTTTCTTTATACAAGTTCATTTAAAATTTATGTCTTATTTATTGCATAAAAATTGAAATATTGTGTAAAGGCCAACGTTTAAACGCAGATAACGTTATGGACTTTTGTTTGATAGTAGGTCAATTTCATCTAATAAGAGATTTAACAACACAAAATTGGTACTGCAGATTGCAATTTTCAAATTTGCTATGCTGATATGTAAAAGTGGGCCAAAATGTGATACCAAATGGTGTGTTTACATCACTACTCTTAATAATCAAAAATATAAATGTGTTAAATTTATTAATATCTCTGGTCTTTTTTTATTGCAGTTTTCAACGGGTTTACTCTACAAGCGTTACTTATTTGTTTCACATTTTCACATGCGTTTTATTGTCTCAATAATACAGTTTTATATTTTTGTTTATATCAATGACGATTAAGTGCTAAGATTTCGTACAACATCTATAGGTCGATTGTACTCTTGTGATCACGAGCAATTGGAAATTAAATGACTGTAAGAGTTACGTAACTAAGCATCGATCTAGAGACCGGAAATGAGAGAAGTCTACATATTTTAGAAAAAATACAAATGGAAATTTATAATAGATCCACGGATTCATATCTGTACTTAACCTAATATTTTCTTGGGCATGGATAATAGATCTTTTTTAATATTATAAAGAATATTCACGGATCCCTCCCTCTTCAATATTTTTGTTGAGATTTTGATTTTGATTTGGTATTATTTAATAATTTCATTTGATTTAGTTTTTATCGAGAAAACTTGATTAGAGTGGAAAATCCAGACTCGCAAAGATATGTAGGTTAGGTATAATGACAAATAGAACAAAAAAAAATATAATTTCCTTGGAAAATAATCCGCGGATGTCTGTGAAGATATTTTTATATTTTTATTTCAGAACGAGTTAAAAGTAGGTAGATATAAAATAGTTCATTTTTTTTCCAAATTTATATCACTTGCTGAAAAGTAGATTTATGAACATAACGTCAAAACCTGTTGCTTGGACACTGTATCCATATT